ATAGATATCATGATGACACTAAACTCATATCTGTCAATAGTAACTCTGAACGTGAATGGACTTAATGACCCCATCAAAAGGCGCAGGGTTTCAGACTGGATAAAAAAGCAGGACCCATCTATTTGCTGTCTACAAGAGACTCATTTTAGACAGAAGGACACCTACAACCTGAAAATAAAAGGTTGGAGAACCATTTACCATTCAAATGGGTCTCAAAATATACCCTAAAAACTATAGAACACTTCTGAAAGAAATTGAGGAAGACACAAAGAGATGGAAAAATATTCCATGCTCATGGATTGGCAGAATTAATATTGTGAAAATGTCAATGTTACCCAGGGCAATTTACACGTATAATGCAATCCCTATCAAAATACCATGGACTTTCTTCAGAGACTTAAAACAAATTATTTTAAGATTTGTGTGGAATCAGAAAAGACCCCAAACAGCCAGGGGAATTTTAAAAAAGAAAACCATATCTGGGGGCATCACAATGCCAGATTTCAGGTTGTACTACAAAGCTGTGGTCATCAAGACAGTGTGGTACTGGCACAAAAACAGACACATAGATCAATGGAACAGAACAGAGAACCCAGAAGTGGACCCTGAACTTTATGGTCAACTAATATACGATAAAGGAGGAAAGACGATCCACTGGAAGAAAGACAGTCTCTTCAATAAATGGTGCTGGGAAAATTGGACATCCACATGCAGAAGAATGAAACTGGACCACTCTCTTGCACCATACACAAAGATAAACTCAAAATAGATGAAAGATCTAAATGTGAGACAAGATTCCATCAAAATCCCAGAGGAGAACTCAGGCAACACCCTTTTTGAACTTGGCCACAGTAACCGGAGAAGGACAAACAGTGTATGTTCTCATTCATTTGGGGAATATGAATAATAGTGAAAGGGAATATAAGGGAAGGGAGAAGAAATGTGTGAGAAATATCAGAAAGGGAGACAGAACATAAAGACTTCTAACTCTGGGAAATGAACTAGGGGTGGTGGAGGGGGAGGAGGGCGGGGGGTGGGGGTGAATGGGTGACGGGCACTGAGGGGTACACTTGACGGGATGAGCACTGGGTGTTATTCTGTATGTTGGTAAATTGAACACCAATAAAAATTAATTTATAAAATTAAAAAATAAAAAAAAATAAAAATAAACCACTCATCACCAAAAAAAAAAAGAAGAAAAGATTGAGTTTTCTACTCTGCACATATAAATAAAAGTAACAACAATGTTAAATCTTAAAATATCTATAGGAAGATGTCTGACCTTCTAATTTTGCCTAAGGTGTTTATTTCCATATCTTAAAAGAATTAGATATAAAAATTTTCCAAAAAAAATTTGGTACCTCTACTTTGCTGGTACCTTAAATACACGTTTAGCTGGCTTAGGAAGTCTAGCCCCAAATCTCATGCCATGGTCACCTCCTTAAAGAGACTTCTCTTGTCCATCCTTTTTTTCCCCCCCTCTTTGAAGATTTTATTTATTTATTTGACAAAGAGAGAGAGAAAGCGAGCGCGCACAAATAGGGAGAAGGGCAGAGGGAGAGGGAGAAGCTCAGTTCCAGGACCCTGGGATCGTGACTTGAGCTAAAAGCAGATGTTTAACTGAGTGAGCCACCCAGGCACCCCTTATCCATCCTTTCTATTTTTTAAAGAATTTATTATTATTATTTATTTGTTCATGAGAGACATGGAGAGAGAGGCAGAGACATAGGCAGAGGGAGAAGCAGGCTCACTGCGAGGAGCCTAATGTGGAATTTGATCCCAGGACCCCGGGATCATGACCCAAGCCGAAGGCAGACGCTCAACCACTGAGCCACCCAGGTGCCCCCCCATCCAAACTTTCGCATCTATAATATCATCCCATTGAAAATATTTCATAAAAAGTGTTGAAATTTGTAATTGTCAGATTTAGCTTTGGATTTACTTGTTTATTGTTTACCTCATCCATGAAGGCAAGGTCCCATCTGTGTTTTTTGCTGCTGTCTTCTATGATCTCATCTAGCACAATGCCTGGTACAAAAGAAGTGTTCAATAAACATTTCCAGAATGAATGAATGAGTGCAGGTTGATGTATGGCAAGTAGCAGTGAGAGGATGAATCCCAAGGCAGATAGGCCCCCTTGGGTTGTTACCCTATAGAAGGCTGTCTTCATGGGGTAGGATGGGAGAAGTGAGTTCAGGGAGGAAGTGAGTTCATGGTTACAAGGAGGAAGGCTCTTGGCTCCAGCAACCTGGTCAAGGCTTAGAACAGCAGGTACATGCCATGATGTTGGATAGATGCCAGCTAGTAAATAATTTTAGGTTGTAATTTCTCAGTGTCACCTCCTAATTTTCAGTAAAATTTCTTAAACTCAACAGCTGTGTGTTTTGTTCTTTGGGAAATGGAGAAAGGATTGTGTGTTTCTATTTGGAGCATGGTGCTCGAAAGAAAGCTAGGAGTGTCTGAGGACAAACAGCAACTACAATGAAATTTGTATCATCTGCTAGCATCTCCTTAGAGTTGTCAGCATCATGGTTATTTGGACAGTAGAGGAAAGGGTGGTTTGGATAGCTAAAAAGTTGAGGTCACTCTGGTTACATAATTAATAAGTTATTTGGTAATTATGTATTCAGTGTCTGTGTCCCATGAGACAATGGTCTCCCTCTGGACAGTGATGCTGTCTGACTTGTTTACTACTGGTCACTGGATGCCTGGCTCCGTGGGTGCTCAGTAAATACTTGTTTTGTGAATGAATAGTTCTGGATGTTTATGTTTCTGGGTCAAAAGTCAGAAGGGTCTGCTGACACGTGAAGAAAAGGCCAGGCTCTGAGGACCAGGACCAGTAGAAGCTGGGGGTGGTGGGGGCTTCTGTACAGCCCAATTTGTTGGGAGGATTCAGATCCAAGCTCAGGCCCCCAGGACAGCTGGAGGGATAAGAGGACAGTCTTGATCCCTCGGCAGTGGACTTAGAGAAACAACTATTCTGAGATACTGTTAGGTCGTGGGAAGGGGTTTCTTAATGTCTTAGGCTTGGTGCTCGTTGGCCCAGGGCTGGAATGGGCCTAAAGTGACCGGCGGGACACGTTATCTTAGGCAGCACAAGGACAGGCAGGAACTCAGGCACTGACAGAACTTTGGCTGCTTGTGTTCCCTGATTCTCTGTGAGTGACCAAGAACCCTTAGAAATGTTTAGGAAGGGGCAGCCGGGTGGCTCAGTGGTTTAGTGCTTCAGCCTAGGGTGTGTTCCTGGAGACCCAGGATCGAATCCCGCATCGGGCTCCCTGCATGGAGCCTGCTTCTCCCTCTGCCTGCGTCTCTGCCTCTCTCTCTCTCTCTCTCTCTGTGTGTGTGTGTGTCTCTCATGAATAAATAAATAAAATCCTTTAAAAAAAATGTTTAGGAGGGGTGGGTTGCCTGGGTGGCTCAGTGGTTGAGCATCTGCCTTTGGCTCAAGGCGTGATCCCGGGGTCCTGGGATTGAGTCCCGCATCGGGCTCCTTACAGTGAGCCTGCTTCTCCCTCTGCCTGTGTCTCTGCCTCTCTCTGTGTGTCTCAGAATAAATAAATTAATTAAAAAAATGTTCAGGAGGGCTTGTGAACTAAGACCCTCTTTCCATTTGTGCCCTCCTTTCCCCTGGAGCCACTTTATTCCTTTCATCACTCTGCAAGTTCTAAAAGCTGGGCCTTGTACGCCTTGAGTGCCTAGGTCCATGGCCTGACCACAGAAGTATTTCAGTGCCCCAAACCAAAAATACTGACATTTTAATCCCCGGCCTCTCTGTCCCTATGTACCAGCCACGGTGGATGGAAAAGGAAGCCTAACCTTGAGAGCCTGTTGATCAGTGGATCAACTCACTATGAATTTTCCCAGGTTCCAGTTCTCAGGAGAAAAAAAAGTATTGATTTTTCTGGGTGATTTTCTTTCTGTTGTCTTGAAAGGGAGTTATGTGGTCATATTCATGGCATATTTTTCAACCCTTTTTGATAGGGTTTTCCCTTGCCCCATGGATCCATACTAATAAGCCAATATTTATTTATTGAGCACCTGCTATGTGCAAACAGAGGGCTATGCATTCATTAGGGGATAAAAAGAGTGACCAAGGGTGGTTTCTGCTTTCAAGAAGTTTACAATCCAAGCCTGGGGACAAATCACAAAATAACTAAAAGTTGAATAGCCATAAATATGTAAATATGACATAGAAGTGATTTGCAAACAGAACAGAACTGATTGTTTCTTGAATTGTCTCAGGTCTGCTGCTGCAATTTGGGTGAACTGCAATTTCAGTGAATAGCAGAGAAGTCACCGATCCAGGAATCGGATCTGAGTCTTGGATTTAGAATTCATCTAAGTACACAAGAGGTGTAGACAGCAGTGTAGACAGGCAGACCTGGATGAATTGAGCCTAAGTGTGGTCAAGGGAATGGAATGGCTGGATCGGAGCACTGTATGAAGGGGGGCTGTGTGAGATAGGGTCAGATGTGCAGCTTTTTTAGCAGGACCCTGAGAGCCTAGCCTGGCTGTGGACTTGGGATTTTAATCTGGAGATGATGGAAAGCATACAGGTCAAAGTGCATGCAAATCCAACTCAGCAAATGAAGCACGAGGCCAATGCGAACAGGATAAAATGTACCTTGGGAAAAAGTGCAATGGCATGTGTGTGCATCTGTGTGTGTATGTGTGTGTGTGAACACGCACCTCTTAAGAAGAGCATGAATTCAAGATGGGGACAGCCTGTTTTAACAGTATTTGACTTGAAACAGATAGATGTGTTAATATATCTATAAGCTCAGTATGGGTCGTTGGTGTGATTTGGCTGGGAAAGCCTCCTGCACTTCAGACTTCAGCAGCAGGAGGGGAGTCTCCAGAGGTTGTCCTGGCATCCTATTTGCTTTCCCCAAATCCTCGACGAGGACTACTTTGATAAGATGGCCAATATTCATATAGGGGCTTCCTGAGTTCTTTCCTGTGGGAGGGTCCTTTCCTCATGTGCAATTTCCATTCAGGTTTTTCTAGGACCCAGAGCCAACTTCACCCTCGCAGAGCATTGCACAGAGTTTATTCATGCAGAGTTTACTGAGCCGCCTGAGGGGACACGGTCAAACCTCATCTGGGAGAAGAAGTATTGATGCACCACCAGGTGAGCAAGCGTTTGTCTAGGACGAAACGGTGTTCTGAGACGTGGAACTTTCAGAGCTAAAACAAGGAGAATCCTGGAAATCTATAGTGGTTGGTCACCCTACAATATACCAGAACCTTCTCTGTGAAGATTCATCCCCACACCCAATTGGTTTTTGTCTTAGAAACTGGAGCAACCTGCCTGTCTCATAGATATTTATCCGCTAGGTACAACTTGCAGAGATCTCATGGTCTGTGTTCCTAAGGTTTTCCAAGGGGGCAAGCTTGTGGTGCTTCAGGTTTTGCAAATGTAAAATATTCACAAGGCCCTTTTTTTCTATTACTTTCCTTGCGGTGTCATTGTCTACAAACTGTCCCATGTGACTTTCCCTTTTCATGAGGAACAGATTCCCTTAATCTTGGGAGGACCAGATATTATAATGGAAAGAGAATGGATTTTTGGAAGCTTAAAGATCTGCTGGTGGATTCTGGTTTCACCATCTACCAGTTGTGGTACATGCTGTGTGTTCACCAAGTTCTACTGCCTTTTCCTCTTCTGGGCACTTTGGGAGATCAGTTAGGCCCCCTCTGAAGAGCTCTGGCCAATAGGTGGTAAGCCGAATGACTTGTCACTTTAGAGCTGAAGCGTGGAACATGACAGGGTGTCTCCGTGCTCCTCTATCCTTGCCCTCATGACCATTAAGGCCACGTGTCCTTGTTGGTGTGACTACAGGATGGCAGAAATCACCCCTCCCCTCACCCTTGTCTCTCATCTTAGTTTGCAAGAGCGACAAATGAATGTTTGTTTGTTTAGCTGCTGAGATTTTGCGTTTAGTTAATGACTGCAGCATAACCTGACTCAAACACTAGTTCTGTGTCTTCCTCACCTTGGGGTACCCTAATAAAATACCATGGATTGGGTGGCTTAAGCAATAGGCACTTATTTCTCGTGGTTCTAGGATGTTCGGAGGCCAAGTTCAAGGTGCTGGTGAGAGCTGGCTTCCTGGCTTCAGACAGGTGGCTCCTTGTTCTCTGTGGAGGCAGAGCCCTGGTGTCTCTTCCTCTTCTTCTTCTTCTTCTTTTTTTTTTTTTAAGATTTTATTTATTTATTCATGAGATACAGAGAGAGAGAGAGAGAGAGAGAGAGAGAGAGAGAGAGAGAGAGGCAGAGACACAGGAAGAGGGAGAAGCAGGCTCCATGCAGGGAGCCCGATGTGGGACTCGATCCCGGGACTCCAGGATCACGCTCTGGGCCGAAGCCGGCGCTAAACCACTGAGCCACCTGGGCTGCCCTCTTCCTCTTATTATAAAGGCGCTAATCCCGTTATGGGGACTCTACCCACATGAGCTTATCTAAACCTAATAACCTCTCAAAGGCCCCCCATCTCCTCATACCATCACACTGGGGTTAGGGTTTCAGCATATGAGTCTGGGGGGCACATATTCAGTCCCTAACACCTTGTAAGCTTGTCTAGCTAGCTAATAATGCTGAGGCTATAAAAAAGAGATATAATATCTCTTTCAAAGGACTATCTTATAGGGCTGCATAATGAGATACTGTAGATGTGGTGTTTAGAATGGTTCATCATACTTAGCAAGAGCAGAACAATATTTTGTTCCCTTCTGTTCTATCAGGGAAATAGATGTTTCTTTCTGGAGTAATACTTAACCAAGGGAGTAAGAACAACCTCTCATGTCCAGGGAAACATGCAATGAGTCTCCAGATGATGCAGGTCGGCCCGTCTCTGTACTGTTGTTTGGCTCTTGGTCTTTCACCTGGAGTGGTCTTTGATCAAGGGACCCTGCCCAGAAAATGCCACCGTGATGTAAGACATTGGACACCAGGACTCCACCTCCCCCCACCACGTTCACCTCTAAGCATCATATTTTAGGAGAATTGTTGACAGGTGCGGGTACTTCTAGAGGAAGGTGAGCAGGTTAGGAAAAGCCTGGAAGTCATGGGGATGGATGAACAACCTACTACAAGTAAGGTTACCAGATTTAGCAAATAAAAATTGGAGAAGCCCAGTAACATTGGAATTTCAGATAAACAAGGGATCTTATTTTAGTATAAGTTGCCTCACGTGATCTTTGGGGTCTCCTTATACTAACAAGGTATCTCTTGTTTATCTGAAATTCAAATTTAACTGGGTCCTCTGTATTTTATCTGGCAGTGCTAGCTACTGCCAGACAGGGCTTTACCATTCTAAATAAGATCCCTGAAAGGGCCAGGAGAACGACGAACTAAATATTCAAATGTTCCAGTTGGCTTTTGTTGACTGCATGTGGGGAAGTGAGCACCTTGTGGTTTGAGAGGGAAGGGGATATGGATGTAGCTGGCTTCATGCCTGGAATCAACCCCAGGCTACCAGGATTACTGAGGAAGTGCACACATATCAGATAGAGATGCAACATCACAGTTAGGAACACAAATGTGTGTTTATACTTGGATACCCGGAGCTGCTGGGTATGCAGATTTCTGAGTGAGCAAGGGGGAAGTTTAGAATTAGGTGTGTTATTCTGGGAGAACTGCACGGGAGAGGCAAATTTGGGTGAGGGTGGGAATTTTGGTTATCCTCCCTTCCTCCTTCCCCTCAAAATATAGATAAATGAGAACTGATTTGCCCTAACTGATCTTTCTTTTGATTTGGCCTAAGACATACGAGCAGGAGGATAAGGTGCTGCTGGTTACTTAGTGCTTTCCCTGCCCTCCCTCTCTGTTAGTCTGTCCTTCCTTACGTATTTATTAGTAAACACATTCATTGAGGAACTATGCAAAGGGATTTCTTGACATAAGACATATAATAGCTCCAAAGAGCAGTATTTCTTAAGAAGGGGAAACCGCATCTTACAAAATTGATGATGATCTAGATAAATTTTAGTGAACTCCCTGGCAGTCTGTGGGTATAGTGGAAGGGGTTCAGGGCACAGAAGGGAGCAGAGAGAGGATGGATTAATAACTTGTAGAGGAACAAAAATTACCATCCTTCCCCTGACACTTTTAGCTTTAGGTTTACTGATTATCTAGCAAAATATGCTCATTATGGAAGATGAGGGCACGCAGAGAAATAGAGACAGGAAACGTTCGTGTGCTGGGTATTTTCTCCCTGTCTTCTCTCTGAGTATTAGTTTTCTCTACAGTTAAGTGGCTTTTATGTACATTTTTTTCCTAATTCCCCCCCCCATTTACAGTATCCCATAAACACCTCCCTCTTCATCGGTATTAAATGTCTTATCAATATTTCAGATCAGAGGGTCAGTTTTGACTCATGTTTTCAGGGGGAAGGAATGAGATTGGGTAAAGACTCATCACCTTGTCTGCTAAGATATTGACTGGATGTTAATCTGTGTTAGCCAAGGCCCCAGGAAAAGAAGGTGCCTTTTATCTAGAGCCCTCAGACTTCTTGGACAGACTTGCTGGACAAGTCGCTCTGAGTTAAGAACAAAACTTCTGTCCAGATTTACTTAGACTCCTATTTATTTTTTATTTATTTATTTTTTTTTAGACTCCTATTTTTATCAGGTGTTGGACTCTGGTTTTACTAGATCTTGATGACCATAAAACAATAGGTTTATTTTGCTTACACCTGTTCCTCTGCCCTCTGTCCTCTATTTTAAACACTCCCCACACTCTATCCCCTGTCCTTCCCTGTCCAGGAATGCTGGAAGCATTGCCCTGCTCTTGGGAACTTAGCTTTGTTGGCCTCCAGAGTGTCCCCTCATCCCTTCTCGTCCAGGTCATGGCTTCTGAGGAGTTTGCAGCCCCTAAGGAATAGAGTGGATTGCACAAAGCCTTCTCAGGTTGGGACCTGGGGCCTCCATGGATGGCTCACTACCTGGTAAGTGAGCTATGAAATATCTGGATGGGAGTGATATTTGTGTTTTGATAAGAACAACTGCAGATTTTGCTGATCAGAGGCCTTGACACATGCATGTGATGCATACGTGAGTATAGATACACTTTACAGAGGACACACCGAGCCAGGCCAGACGTTTGCATTGTTTCTTGGAATCTTTACAAGGATCCATGAATTAGACGGCTAATATTCCCACTGGAGGCATGTAGCTGTGGTTGTCCAAAGGCATGCATCTGGTGGGTGCAGGACCAAGACTTTCGCCGTTACCTCTCTTACTTGGAGGTCCAAGCGAGATGTCTGTCTGAGATGGACAGCAGAGCATTCTGGAGCTGGAGGGGGCTTCAGAGGAGATTTAAGAACATTGGATGTCCCAGCCGCTCTGTAAGCCAATTAAATCTTTGAGTGGGGCCTGGCTTAAGTATATGATTTTGTAAGTTCTGCAAGTAATTCTAAGGGACAGCCGTGGTTAAGAACCAATAAAATCCAACACCTTTATTTATAAATGATGAAAATGAGACCCAGTGAGGGGCTTGCCCTAGTTTCCACTTTTATTGAGTAGCAGAGCTGGAGCTGGGTCTAGGATTTCCTAGATATTCATGTCCATACGTGGACCCGAAGTGACCACAAGCACTGCAGGGAGGTGCTGATTAAAAGCTCTTAGGTGAGGTTGATTCCAGGCATGAAGCCAGAAACATCTGTATTCCCTTCCCCCTCAAACCACAAGGTGCTCACTTCCCCACACTCAGTCAACAAATGCGAATTTGAACATTTGGATATTTAGTTTGTTGTTCTACTGGCCCTTTCAGGGATTTTTAAAAAATATTTTATGTATTTATTCATGAGAGACACACAGAGAGAGAGGCAGAGACACAGGCAGAGGGAGAAGCAGGCTCCATGCAGGGAGCCCGATGTGGGACTCGATCCCGGGACCCTGGGATCACGACCTGAGCCAAAAGCAGATGCTTAACCTCTGAGCCTCCCAGGCATCCCAGGGATCTTATTTAGAATGGTAAAGTCCTGTTTGGCAGCCCTCTGCTAGCTCGGGGGGCAGATCTGATGCAAATGCCCATGTCCCTCCCAGCCATTCGTCAATGTCTCCCCAGATGCGTCTGACCTGCCATGTGGCTGCATGTTGCCCCCTTCAGGCATACATCCCTCCTCCTCTCAGGCTGTGCCATGGCCGCATGGCCAGCTTCACATGGTGTCTCTGTGGCCAAAGGTCACAGAGGTTGGACTTAGGTCTTGAGAATCTAATGCCCGAGGGCAGAGGTAGAGGTGGTGGGGTGGAGGAGGGTGCATGATCCTGAGCTGGCTTGTCTGCTGGAGGAAGGTCAGGAATCTGGGGGGGACAGTAAAGGTGGTAAAAATGTCCACACATTCTTCCCTCTTCTCTGGGAAGCCAGCCTACAAGGGACCAGCCATGGGCCAATGTCCTGCTCCAGCAAGCTGCCAGCTACACTGGGCTGCACCCCTCAGGAGGGCAGGGGTTGAGCATTTGGGGGTGTGCCCTGGGAGGTAGAACAGAAGGAGCTGAGGCTTCGGAGGTGACCTGGGAGCCTGACCCCAGGGGAGGGGACTCCCCCTTCCCGTGGTAAGGCGGAAGTTGTGTCATCCTGTCGGAGACACTTTGTTTAATCTTGTTAGGTCACCGTGATGTTTGTCCGGCTACCTTCTGTTTCCATTCCTTATAGGGTGCTTCCGTCCTGAGAGCCGCATCCTGTCAGATGCCAAGGAAACCCTGCCTGCGTGTACCTGAGGCTCTGAGGTGGGGCCTTGGGAGGCCACCCCCCCCATGTCTGCCCACACAACAGAGGCTGTCCATCTGAAAAACAAACAAGAAGGCACCCAGTGGTGCCTCTTCTGGATGTTCCTACAGCATCAATGTCTTCCCAGGAGTCCTCAGCTAACACCAGTCAGTCCTCCGAGAGCTGGAGCAAGAGAGCTCCAAGAGGCATTTTCAGGTATCGGGCCTTGATTAGGTTTGGGAGGCATAGAGTTCACCGTCTGGTGGATTCTAGTTAAAGATGATCCAAGGGAAAGAAAGGGACTTGAGGCAATGTTAGAATCTAAGTGAAGTGAGGAGTCCTGGAGCAAACTGGTCTCGGCTCAACCAACCACTTCCTAGATGGAAGCAAGTCACCAAATATATGCCTCCTGTTCTTCATCTGCAAAGTGAGGATAACTGTCTGCCCCCCACAGAGATGCAGTGAGTGTTGAGTGAGTTAGTACATATAAAGGGTTTAGGACGGGGCCTGGCACTCCCTGAGCACTTGGTAAAATGGTAGCTGTAGTTCAGTTAGGCTGACTGCCTGATTTCTCCCAGACCCCAGGCCCACGCTACCGGGTACCATGGTCTACTGGGCAGACATTCAGGTTGAGGAGGGGAGGGTGCGGGGAGGAGAGGGGCATGGAATGCAGTCACCCCGTGCACACAGCCCAGCCTCCTGTTCTGCTGGCCTCTGCCTGAGGCTGGGCTCCTGTCTGTGCCCAGGGTCAGAGCAGATTCCCTCTCTCTGGTTTTGGGAGAGGAGCATGGAAGAGCGACCGACGTCTGGGCGGCTGAGCTGTTGTGCAGGTGTGGAGGGCCACGACAGCTTGAGTCAGGTGGCGGCGAAGCCGCAGGGACGTTCCTGGAGCCTAGCTCGTCCCACAGACGAGGACTCAGACATGACTCACCATGTTCAGGTGGTGCCTGGGCCTTAGTCACCTGGTGCCCCTTCTTCCGACCCCTGCGATTCAGCACAGCCTGGGCCAGGCTCTCTTATCCTCCGGAAACGTTTCTCCCCTTTCCTTGTTCTCTGTCCCTTGATCTCTCATTGATCAGATCTTGGCTGGTCTCCCCGACAGATGGATAACGGAGCCTGGAGCTGCTGAGGCCACCCCCGCACCCTGTCAGGCATTGCCAGGGATGACTGTGGAGGGCCCGGGATACTGCCTACATCAACACGGTGACATTTCTGTAATCTGAGGCTGGGTGGCCCCCTCTCTGCGGCGACTGCAGCAGGAATCTCCACTCTCAGCCATCGGTTCTCGACCAGAAGCCCAGGCCGTCCCCTTTGAGAATGCAGATATACCCACAGTGCGTGGGGGCTCCTTAAACTCTATCAGTCGTTGACACCTCAGTGTGAACCTGTTCATTATACCAAGAGTGAGCACCTGCTGTGTGCCAAGCACTTTTTCCAGGTACTCGGAAAATAGTAGTGAACGAAACGGGCAGAAATCTCCTCTTTCTTTTATATTACGTTCCGCTGCGAGGAGTTAGAACAATAAACATGATAAATAGGTAAGTTCTGTAGTTGATAGGTAAGTGTTGCAGACAATAACGACAATAAAATGACCCAGCCTACCCATAAGGTAGGGTAAGTGGAATTGGGAGTGGGATTGGGCAGGGAAGTTTTTTTTTTTTTAAGATTTTATTTATTTATTCATGAGAGACACACGGAGAGAGAGAGAGAGAGAGAGAGAGAGAGAGAGAGAGAGAGAAGGAGGGAGAAGCAGGCTCCATGCAGGGAGCCCGATGCAGGACTCGATCCCGGGACTGTGGGATCATCCCCTGGGCCAAAGGCAGATCCAACCGCTGAGCCACCCAGGCCTCCCGGTTGTCATTTTAAACAGGGTGGTTGGAATGATTGAGAAAGCGTTTGAATGAAGCCTGGAAAGAGGTCACCCAGATGCCCAGGGGACCGAGAGAATCCCCGGGGCCAGAGGCCCAGGCCAGCAGCAGCCTGGAGATTTGGAGGCAGGGCGGCAAGGAGGCCCTGTGCCTGCAGTGGAAGGAGTGAGGGGCAGAGACAGAGAAGTAATGGGGGCGTTGGGATCATGCAGGGCCTCACAGACTCTAAGGGTTTGGCTTGGCCCTGACCCTAACGGGGAGCTAGCGCAGGCTTCTGCTGGGGGAGTGATGCGGCCTGGGGTGTGGGGTGTGCTGCAGAAGGCTGGAGGCTATTGCAGAAGTTTGGGGAGAGAGGCTCAGGCCCAGAGGGTGGGAGCTGCCTTTGGAAGGGGAACTAGAGCATTTCCTGGTAGCGTGATGTGGGTGCAAGAGAAGCAGGAGTCAAGGATCCGGCGCCTAGCCGCTTCCCTGAGCGCGGGTCCTGATGAGCCAGGGCTGGTGCTGCTGCTGCTGCTGATGATGATGATGAGGCTGAGGGCTCCAGAGCAGGATGCTGGGAAGCGGGGCAAGTGAGGACACAGGGGGACACTGGGGCACTGTAGTGATGCCCCCACCTGCCCTTTAGCCCTGGCCAGGTGCTAACCCTGCCTCTGGCTCTGTTTTAGGCTTCTGGTCCCTGAATAAATGAGGTTCTGAAGTTCAAAGCGTGTCTGGGCCCCGGCCATCCTGGTGGGGGTTGGAGGGAGACGGGGGGGGTTCTAGATCCCCACCCCGGGGTGTGCTCAGTGTCCCTGAGGAGTGAGGCTGCCTGCGCTCCCCTTGGGGTTTGCAGAACAGATGTCCTGGACTTGGCCCAGAGGGTGTGGGGGGCCCAAACAGAGCAATTACCATTTTCCTCTGCAAGGCCAAACCACTGCTGGGACTTGCCCCAGCCTGTGAAGTCTGAGACACGGAAGGCTTATTTACCTGGGCTCCTGGCCGCCTAAGAGAGGAGAAGGAGGGGGATTTGAAGAGCCCCAGTCACTTAGTGCTCAGCCCACCACACCCCAGGCCCCCTGCCTAGTCTGAGGATCTGGGATTGCGACACCTGCTCCTTCTTCTGGTTAACTATTAATGAGTTCTTTGTCACATCCTCTTTCCTGGTGGTGGGCAGAGGATGAGGCTGTTCCAGGAGGGTAGCAGCTTCTTGGAAACCTTGAGCTCAGGGAGCTGGAGAGGTGGAGACAAACGGACCAGGCAGGAGGGCTCAAAACCCTGGGGTGGGGGTGGGGGTGGGGGTGGGGGGTGTTGGCTCTCGGGGTTCTTGTTGCACAGGCTGGCCCATGAAGGGAAGCTGCTGGTACTGACTCTGGCTTGCCCAGTTAAGCCACATTTTGCTGGAATTCTTACCCGAGTCTAGAGGCTCCCAGTTACTGGAGTAACTGTTCTGCGTGTAAACAACGTCATGCCCATTTGCTAATTGCAGTACTTCCCCTGCCCATCTAAACTTAGTTTAGGGTTAGAAATCTAAGGATTAGAAATGCCCAGCTTAATCCACAAAAATCCTATATTTTCCCCTGAAGGGTTCTCAAAGCAATTTCTTGGACGTAACCCTCAAACTGTAGAGAACTTCCTGCTTAGGAGCCCCTGGTAGCCTGGGCCCGGTAGTAAGAGTGTCCTTTCCATAGAAACTTTGAGGCAGTGGTGTTCCAGAACCATGCGAGTGCGGGAGGGCCTAGCTTGGACTGGGAGACCTTCCACGTCTCTCTGAAAGCCCCCCGACCCTCACCTGGGGGCCGAGTGTCCTCTGACACCGGCCCCCGGGGCTAGGCCTGTGACTGGCACGTCCAGCGGCCCTGAGGTAGGAGCACACCCAGAGCCCCACAAAGGAAACTGTGTTCTCAGGCCTGGTGTGCAGGTGGGGGGCGGGCAGGGGAAGCTGGGCTAGTTATGCTTCAGGTCTGTTTTCGGGCCCTACAGGCTGGCATTCCTGCCCAGGGAGGGAGGGGCTGGGAGGCCAGCCCTTACTGAACCGGGGGCAGTGACTCACAGGTAGTTACCTGTCCTCGGGCTCCTTGCCAACCTGCAGATGGAGCCGGAGGGGGGGCATTTAGAGTTCATTCCTGTTGATTCTTCTGAAGCTTCCCTTGCGTGAGTTGGGCTCTGACCCTTTCCCAAAGAACCTACAACTCCAGCAGATTCCCTCGCCCCTCCCACCCCCCAAAGCAGGGGTTTTCCATTTTCTTAGTTTTCCCTCAGGAGGGTTCTGGTGCTTTCCAGGGTCTTGGATGTTTGGGTCTTTTCACCTTGCAGGTCAGCGACAGGTCTGGGCAACAATACCCCATATCCTCCACCTGGTCTTCTGTCCAGGGCCGTCCAGGACAGCGGAGGAAGCTGACTCCCATAAGCCTTGGGGAAGGGCCAAGTGCAGTGCCTAGCACAGATGTGAGGGCCCTTCCCTGCCCCCCCGGGAGTCCCTGACGTTCGCCCGCCGCAGGGTGCTTTCTGTTTGCAGGGGTCCCCTGCATCCCCATCTCCACAAGCACCCACAGGGAGCTGAGGACTGATGAGCTTGCTGTGAGGCCTCTGAGACCAAGGCACTTGCCCAGTCCTGTCCTGGGGTTGAGGGTGGGGGGTGCGGTGCCTGCCGATGGGCGTGCCAGCCGCCGGATTCCTGAGAGCTGCCCTGCAGTGGGCGACGCCCAGCCAGGGAGTCTCCAGAGGTGAGGCCGTCCTTTAAAAACTGGGAGCCAGGCGAGGAGACCCCGCATTCAAGGGGTGCTCTCAGAAGTCGTCTGGAGAAAGAAGAGCAACAGCAGCACGGGACAAGGTATGTTACCTGCCTTCTCCTGGCCGCAGGGCCTGGGAAGGGCTGTGTGTGTCTCCCGGGGCGGCTGGGGCCTGGCTGCACACCTGAGCAGGTGAGCGCACCTCCAGAGGCAGGTTAAATGTTGCTTTTCCCATCTGATAAGTGTGTCTCAGTGACTTATAAGAAAGCAGCCTCAGGTCGGGGCTGAGCACAAAGAGAAGTAGAAAAGTGTGGGCTGGCCCAGCTCGAGCTCTTCCAAGGGCCCCTTGGTTGCCTCGTTGTGGGGGATTCTGGCCCAGGGGCGGGGGTGGGGGGCAGAGACAGCACTGGATGACAACCAGAAAGTGGCTTTCCCTCTCAGGCCGTGATTAGCTGTGCAACCTCAGGGCACCTGTCTCTTCCCGGGGCCCCTGACTCTTCTGGGAGGGGATTGGAAGGCATGATTTTGAAGGATTAGGGTATGTAACTTAAGGGTATGTAACTTGGAGGGTCCCCCTCTGCTCCTACCTTGCCATCCCCCTCCTGCTTCCACCCCCGCCAGAGGAGTTTGTGGCTGTCATTGGAGGCAGAGTTGGGCACTGTGTGAGCAGGGCTGGGGCATGCCTCCGCAGGGTAGGCCTGCTTACCTCCTGGAGGGACCCTCAGCCTCCAGAATCCCTGCTCTGGGGCTTCCCTCCTGCACAGCCCGGGGCCACAGTGGGAGACATTTGGAGTTGCTTCCAGTTCAGGTGAAATCCTCACTCACTTTTTAAATTTTGCCAGGCTCACCTCGCTCGCCCGTCATATCCCAGGTACCTGCTTAGCCCAGAGTTGTGGCCACGACAGCCTCACCCTCAAGGTGGCTGGGAGATATCAGAGACCATACCAGTGGCAGAGAGGCCTCACCTCCAGGCCCTTGGCCACTTTGACCCACTTATCTTTGTGCCTGTTGGCTGGGCCGAGCCCTGAAAAAGGCCCCTTCTGTTTCTAAGGGCAGCAGCAATGCCTCGGGTGTCCCTAGAGCTCCTGTCCTCCAAAGGGCTCAGCCCCTTTCTGCTGCCCAACTGTCCTTATGACCGTGTGGGCCGGGAGGGTCCAATGCTCTCTCCCTTCCATCTCAGAGGGTGAAGATGAAGTCTGAGGCGGGGATGGCCTTTTCCCACGGTACACTGTGAGTCATAGGCCAGCTGGGACACGGGTCCAAGGCTCTGGCATTTTCCAAGCTTTTGGCTGCAAAAGTACCTGCTGCCTAGAAGTATCCTAGGTCAAGAGCGCAGGTAAAGGGGGCTAGTGTGTCCTAGGGTTTGTAATGTTTTATCCAGGCTGCTTTGCTCTGTCCCAGGTGAAGTCCTCTGAGGGGATTCCCCCACTGGCTGAAGATGAGGCCACTCCTCCTCCTGTGCCTTGGTGAGTGTCCCTTCCCATCCTCCAGGCCCTGTTATAGCGCAGGGAGGTGACTGCCATGGGTAGGAAGTTAGTGTACCAAAGTGTGAGCATCATCTGTCACCCTATAGTCCTTCAGTTTGGAACACTTGTCTACTGGGGCACCCATGGGGGGTTGCCTGGCTTCTTTGAGCCTTTGGGAAAGATTATTCTCTGCCCCTCCTGAGAGGCTCCCAAGTGTCTTCTTATTCCTACCGAGGGTGGCTCGTGGTTCCCAGGAGAGACCTGCACAGCTAATTCCCCAGCCTTTTACTCTCTGGCTGGTTCCAGAGCCATCATAGCTTGATTATACAGCGGATTGTAGCCGGGCAGTCCCAGACTGTGACTGGGTCCCCTTTGCAGATAAAGGACCAGAAAGAATGCAGGTATCTCCCAGTGTGGCACAAATGGTGAGCAGTTGGCCCTGCTCTGGCTGCTGACAGGGGCCAGGCTGCAAGTGAAGAAGTTGAAGAGTGTGTCCTAGTGGCCGAGCGTGTGCCTGCGACTTGACTCTAAAAGCCACATATGGATGCCACATTTCAAGATCATCCAGGGTTTCTGGTTGCCAGCGTTTCTCCTCCTTTCCTTGCTAAGTTATGGGTTACAGAACACGAAATCAGCTTTTTAACCTAACGGCATCGGGATTCCAATCCTTAGGCCCACCACCGAGTGGGAGCACCCGTGAGGGAAAGGGTCTAGTCTTGTTGACTTTTGCTCCTCTGGGGGAATACTGGGGTGGCCTGGCCTCCTCTCTGTAGGTAATTTCCCAGCACCCCTGTAATTTCAGTCTGGCCCAGCTTCCTATGTGCCCAGCAAGCCTGCTCCCGTGGGGCCTGCTATCCACCTGTTGGGGACCTGCTCATTGGGAGGACCCGGTTTCTCCGAGCTTCATCCACCTGTGGATTGACCAAGCCTGAGACCTACTGCACCCAGTATGGCGAGGTAGGCCCCCACCCACGCGGCCTCCAAGAAAGGAGAAGCGAGGTGGGGTGGGGTTGGGTGAGGCTGCCATTTGCTCCCAGAATGCCTAGAGTGTATTTGGGAGGGCCGCAGCCCCATGAGCTGTGGACAGTGCAAGAAAAGCCTAAGGCCAGATCTCTGCCTCTGAAGACTTTTCTCCTTCACTGGGCAAGAGAAGACGTACTCAGAATTAGCTGACTGGCTCTCTTCTCCATTCTGCTTGATAAAGCTGGAGTCTGTCCTCAGTGTTCCGGGCATGGGGAGGCCAGTTTTTCAAGTCTTGGGAATGGACAATCAGATGAATATTGATCCTTTAGAATGGAGGGTCTAATGCGTCATCTGGGGTAGGCCAAGTCAAGGCTGATGGAGCACAGGTGGTGGGATGTGTGCGCTGGGTTGTGTTCCTGCCACGGGATGAACTGAGTTAGTTGTGCCCTGGTCACTCGTTTGCCACCGTCTCTCTGGCCGGTGTTGGGATATGAGTGTGGACAGAGCTAACGGGAGAATATATGCTCATAGGCTGGCGTTTACCTTCTATGTTTTGCAAGTGCCGTGCATGAAGAGCCAACTTACCTGCCCCTCAGCCCCAGTGGTCCCCTCAGGCAAAGCGGGAACCATCCACACTGCTGTTAGAAGATCTAAATCAGCGAGATAGGCCAAGAAGTGATGAGGCCAGCAAGGGGGTTCAGCGACTCAGCTGATAAGTAAGAACACAAACTGAACAATCCAGAAACTCAGACACACTGACCTATGTCAATTAACATTCCCTGTTTAGGCACTTGAGTTTTTCAAAGAGCTGTTGTGCTTTTTCTTCTACATGTGTCTGGACCTTTGTTGGAGAAACTTTGGCTTTCTTTTCTTTTCTCTTCAGTGAGGCAGGTCATTCTTGGTGCCCCGTATTTACCAAAGTTGAAATCACCCAGTGTTTTCTTGTTTCCTGGCTGCATGTCTCATTTGGCCATTTTTTTCTACCCTGAAACCAAAGGTTTGGACAAAGGAATGTATGAGGGAGTAGTTTTCACTGAGTCTCTAGTCTCTTCAGAAAAAGAGAGAAAGGGAGAAATACAGAGAGAAGGCGAGTGAGAGAGATTGTCGTAAAGGAGACTTGGGTTCTCTGTGATGTCCTCTTTCCAGACTGTCCTTGTCCTTGGGATGATGGAGGTGGCATCTGATACTGCCGCTAGGGCCCTTGTCCTTCAAGTCTCCAGGGTTCTTTTGGTGACCTTTAATGGCAGATGGTACTGGGTAGTGGTTTTGGAGGTGCTGAACAGAGCTGGCTGTAGTTTCTTCATCTCACCCAGTTGGATGTGGGAAAGCCAGTTTGACAGTGTTGGGTAAGATGGCCCGCATAAGGCAAGTACTCCCTGTGGGCCCAGATTTCTCCATGAGCATCAGGGGACCTGGCACCATTAGGCTTTCTGGCCAATGGAATGGTTTTAGCTGCCCCCTTCCTACATGCCCTCAAAATCTTGTGCCAGTGAGCCATGTCTAAAAATTTTAGGGAGACATCTACTGACTTCCTTCCTGGAGCTGCCCCGCCTTCTAGGAGGGAAAGCAGGAAGAAGCACAGAGCACCTGCCGGACAGCCTCTGTCCCCAAAGCCTTGGGCTTTTGGCTTCACCTTGGCCTGCCCTCTGCCTCTCTCAGATGCCCCAGGGTGCCAACTCCCTTCCCCGCTCTTTTGAGAACAAAAACGGTGCTTGCAAAAGAGAAGTCTAGACTTTTGCAACCCTGGGGATGGATAAATCTCAGCTATTTTGCAGCTGTGAAAGCTGAGATGCATTGGCTTTTTTCCCCCCTTTCTACAAGGGGGAATAAAGCCATGAACCTCTTTTCAAGAGTAGAGGTTACCGCATCTCGAAGACGGTGTGTAGCCCCAGGGCTACCACCACTAACTCGTGGTGTGATCTTGGGCAAGCTGTTAGCCCTCTCTAAGACTTAACTTCCTCTTCCATGAGTGAGCGTTAGACGAAAGGGTCTTTAGGTCTGCTCCTGGCCCCAAGTTTCTTTGGGAAGGAGCTGACTGCCGAGAGCCAGCTTCTGTCCCCCTACCTTCCACCTCTCCCTGTTCCATTTCCCCTTTCCTCTTCCTTACCTGCTAACCTCCTAGCGGCTATTGGTTGACAGCAATGAAGACCTACGCTAAAGGCTCGGAGTCACTTCCAGGGCTCTGCGCAGATGTATCCTGAATCCTCACTGGGCACAGTGGTGGCGCTGTGATGAAGATTTGAAATCAATATTTTAACTCTGCTGACTTCCAATTTCAGTTTTAAGTTTAATGTATTCTATTATCAAATGAGATGTTTAGCACCTATACTTTATTAGGCACATGTGTGTCCCAGACATCATGCTCAGAGTTTTATAAAAATTACCTCAATTAATTTTCACAGTGCTTCATGTGGTGGCGCTTGTGACCTCCGTGTGCTGTCGGGAGGGTTTGGGTGTGTGCTGGGGCCCCAAACTTCTGCTGGAAACACACAAGTGTTGAGTTTTCTGAGTAGTTTAGAGATGGGGGTGGATGGGTACTGGGCAGCCCCAGCTGGAGATGAGGCATGATGCGGAGCTCTATTCCTGGTGTCTACCCCTCTCCCTTCTCCCCCTCACTCCTTTCCTACCAGCTCCTGCCCCCGTATATATATACTTTCCTTAAGTCGAAGCTTCTGGTTAGTGCCTCCGTTCTATTTCCAGGACATGGCGAGCCCTGAGCCAAGCATAACCTCACCCAGCACCTGCTGCCTGCTTCACTGATGTAGCGTGAATGCAAGTGCCTTAGAGATTTATGGCTCTTGGACATTCAGCACTGTGCATTCCCCTGCTCTCAACCCCAGGAGGACTCAGTGGGATGGAGTTACAGGAGTGTGGGGACTCCTTCCAGTTCCAAAATTGTTTCTCCCAGCTCCTGATCTCAGAGGGTGGCTCCCTTTTTGTGGGCCAGTCTTTGCGTGTTGGCATGCTACGTCCTCTGCCTCATTTGGTCTCAGTGGATAAATCCTATCAGCCTCAAGGGCTTGCTTCTGTGGTTTTGGGGTCCGTATTGCAACCCTTACAATGGATATCGGACTTGACCATCTGAGTCTTTGGATACCCCACCCTCAACTTTGCCCTTCCTAGGCCTGTCTGCCTTGACTGCCCTCTAACTATCCAAGCTTGGGCCCAGGCTGTTCTTTACCAAAATGGCCCCATCTCCTTGGCCTCCTTCCTTTAGTCCCTAACTATCCCCCAGGTAGACTCACTGTTCCCTAAAGCTCAAGGCATTTCCGTGTTGCCCCCTCATCCTTGTTCCCTTCTGTGCTCTCCCTGAACATCAGTTCCTCATTTGAAAAATGAGAGTACCAACAGCACTTAGTCCCATGAGTCATTGTGAGGACTGTATAAGGGAATGAGCAAAGTGACCATGGGGCTAGTGTCTACAAGACACTAAAAGTTCCATCCCCTCTTCCCTTACACACTTGCCTCCTAGCATCTGTGTCTATGTGCAGAGGCTGCCCCATCTGTGAGTCATACTCCTGAGCATTTCTTCCCTGATTAGGACACACACTCGCACACTTGTCGAAATCAACCCATCCTTGGACCAGCCCACTCTGCTTCCAAGGTGGCCATTGCCAGTCTGGTCTGCAGTGGACTGTTGGAGAATCCAGAGGGAATCATGGTTAGCGAAGTCGCCCTGCCTGGGGGTGGGGACTGTCTGGTTCTGATCCTGGCTCTGACACTTAGATTAGGGATGTGACCTAGCCAGCTCATGGGTTCTCTCTAGAACACCATTTCTCCATTTATGAAATGACAGAGTTGGGTTAGTCGGCCTTTGTGTTTGCTCAGCTCTCGCATCTCTGGCTGCTTCACAGCGATGGCTGGGCTGTGTGTGACCCCGTGGGTTCATCATGGTCTCTCTCAGGCAGGTACTGGCAGGGGCTGAGCTGTACCCTTCGGTCATCTCTGGGTTGGTTCAGGCTTCCCAGGAATCAGTGCATTTTGCCCGGAAGCTTTCCAGCCCTGATTTCTGTTTCTGACAATGTCTCTTCCAATGTTGTGTCTGCTCCCCCTAAATGCTTTATTTATCTCCCACTCCCTCCCATTCTGGGCGAAAACTTAATTACCCAGCTGCCTTAATAACAGTTTAACACAGTGCATTCCTCAGGTTAATTAGCTGTGTAAACCAAACAGCTGTCATTTTTATCTCTTGGAAACAAGCTGAGGAGCAGTAGCCAGTTGACATCCCCTCCACCCCAACACACACACACACACACACACACACACACACACACACACTTGCATGTAAGTGCACCCACATCCACATGCACACATCCCAATGAGCACTGCCTTTCTTGGCTTGACAACTGTCTGTTTTCTGGATGTTTGTGTGGCTAATATGTAGGCAGAGGATGTATTCATATAGATCCTGAGCTCCTTATCCTCTACCCACAGAGTACTTTGAGACTGCCTCTGACCAAAATGTCTGCCCTCCCATTTCCCAGAAGTTCTCGGCAGTTCTGAAACTTCCAAATTTCCTAACATTGGGGATTCACTCTCTTGGGTGAAGCATTGTTGCCTTCCCTATTTGAATACAAGCACTCTTGGGAAAGGTACCATATCAATCTATCATCAACCGTTATATCTTAGCATGGGTTTGCTTAGCAGGAAATTAGCTGTGGCTTTTGTAAAGGGTTCCAAGAAAGTAAAAGCCAGGATGGTTAGTTTTGAGGGATAGAAAGATGTGGATAAGGACACTGAGGGAAAGTGCTGCCATCAGAAGGAAGCAAAAAAGCTTGGGTTGGTGGCATGTGAGATTCTTGGGTCCTGGTGGTTATGGGCTGGGGAGTATGGTTCATGGGGCTAGAAGAACAGAAGAGAGGGGAAGGATGGAGTGGGAAGGCCTGGACAAACCCGAGTGATCTCAGACTTTGCTAGCCTTATCTCTCACCCCATTGGGGTCCAGGTCCCTAGAAGTCTCTGGGCAACATTTAGCAGACCTGCTTTGCTTCTTT